GAGAACGTTGAGACTGTGCGAACCATCACAAGGTACGACCGACTCGCTCAGCTAGTCAACACCACAACACGGTCTTTCCTCGAAGAAGAACTCCCGGAAGTCGCCTGGCTCGAGTTCATCAACACATTCAGTCAGCTAATTGCACAGGCTTCAGAGATAAAAGCTTGCAATAAGTGCAAATCCGTTTCTTTCGTTAGGAGCAGAACCCGAAAATGGATGACAGTACGCAACGCAGCATGGCGAGTGTACAGAGAAGCTCCAGCACCAGAAACCTGGGACAAATACGTAGCCCAACGTAACCAATGCACTCAACTGTTAAGAGAAGACAAAGCCGCCTATCAGCAGAACATCGCAAAAACCTTTGGTGCTAACCACAAACTGCTGTACAAGCACGTTAATAGACTACGAAAGGTGACGCAAGGATTTCCTCCACTCAAGACGGCTGATGGCCCAACAAGAACGGCAGTGGAAGCAACAAACGCGCTGCAGATGCAATACGCCCCCAAGTTTCAAAGCGTCTTGCCACCAAGCGATCTAGCAAGCTCTGTCGTCTGCTCGCCAGGACTAACCCACATCAATTTCACCGCAGAGGCTGTATTGCAAAAGCTGACTTCTCTACGCAAACACAGCTCGCCGGGTGTCGACGCCATTCGTCCTGAGGCATTGGGAGCAGCAGAAAACCAACTGGCAAGACCTTTAGCGCGGTTTTTCCAGCGCTGCTTCGACCAGAACCAAGTTCCCGCCATGTGGAAGCTTGGAATAATAACCCTGATTCACACTGGTGAAAGCAGAACCGATCCCTCCAACTACCGCCCAGTAACCCTTCTTACTATACTCTCCAAGGTCATGGAATCCATAGTTGCCGATGCACTGGTGTGCTACCTGGAAAACTGCAACCTCATCACTCCTGAACAGCACGGTTTCCGTCGACAGCGGTCATGTACAACTAATTTACTGATTGCACTTAGTAGTTGGACCGACGCAGCTGACGCTAGAGGAGGTGTTGATGTGATCTCCCTGGATTTTTCCAAGGCTTTCGATCGTCTAGACCATCGGATATTACTATCCAAGTTGCAGTATTACGGGATCGGAGACCCCCTTTTAAGCTGAATCGCCAGCTTTCTACTTCAACGGCAATTAGTGGTCAGAGTTCGGAGCTCTTTATCTGACCCATACAAGTTGAGTGTGGTGTGCCGCAAGGCTCAGTTTTAGGTCCACGTTTGTTTTTGGTGTTTGTTAATGACCTTGCACAGGGAATTGCTTCAAACTTCCTAATGTTTGCCGACGATATCAAGAGCTGGCACAGGATCCAAGTGAACGCCAACCAGCATCGGCTTCAGACTGAACTAGATACTGTGTATCAATGGTCAACCCAAAAGTTACTGCATTTCAACTTCAATAAATGCAAGGTGCTTTCCATCCGACATCAGAGCAGCTACTCATACCGACTCGGAACGGATGTACTGCAACAATCAACTCTCGAACGTGACTTCGGTGTCCTGGTTCAAGATGAATTGGGTTGCTCCAGACAATCCGAAAAGTCCTCAATGACCGGAAACCAACACGCCAGGCTGTTGAGGCGGGCGTTTGGACGAATAAACAGCTCCATATTTCGACAAATGCTCAGTGCGTATGTTCGCCCTCATGGCGAATATGCAATTCAATGCTGACATCCATGGCTGAAACACGACCTTAATGCACTGGAGCAGCCACAACGCCGGGCATCTAAGAACGTAATTGGAATGCGCAATCTTTCCTAGCAGAAGCGGCCACAACGACTGCGATTGTTGAGTGGAAGCTATCGCAGACTACGAGGCGACCTGATTATGGCATACTTGATTCTGCGACACCCACATCATGGGTGCCGCCCTTTACTGCAACTCAGTAGCAATACAAACCTGAGGGGCTACTCATTAAAAGTCGCAGAACAATACAGTCGTCTGGAGTGCTGCAGAAATTTCTTTTCCATTCGTGTCTGTCACCCGTGGAGTGCTCTGCCAGAATCGGTCGTCTCTGCCCCGACACTAACAATATTTAAAAGCCGGTTGGACGACGCACTCATCCACTTACACTTTGTTACTTAACTCTACGTCTCCATCCTACACCTGGAGTTTACCATGGAATTATTTGTTGTTAACTGTGGGTGCTGTGAATCTAAGATGATAGCAGGACTACAGCGAAGCTAACGATAAGTCCTTATTTTTAAATTTAAAGTATTAACTATGTCACTATCCTTATTCTCTTTATTGTTATGTTGATATCCCCCACCAACTATCCAACGGGACTTGTAAAGCAACGCTTCTTAACCCGTACAAGTCATTGTTCATTGATTGTATCTTTTGACTGCAAAGATATTATCCATAAGGATTTTGTACAGCATGGTCAAATTGTAAACTAGGGAGCCTATCAGGGAATCCTATCGCATTTGTTGGATGCTATGCGTTGTAAGAGGATTGAACTGTGGGAGAAGCAGACTTGGATATAACATCAGGCCAGTGCGCCGACTCACACATCACTCCTTGTCCGTAGCTATCAAGCAAAAAAATCAAACTCTCATTGTGCATGACCACTTTATATTCTCGACCTAGTCCCAGCAGACGATTGCTCGTTTTCCAACCATAAAACCAGATTGATAGGACACTGTTTCCGAATCATAACGGAGATTCAGGACAATGAGACAGGAGAGGTATTGGCCATGCAAGATTCTGTGTTCCAGGAGGTCTTCCAACAATGAAAACACCGTTGCTAACGGTGTACTCTCTGTAATGGGACTACTTCAAGGTGAATACTATGTAACACACTGTATAGTGCACGATGAAAATGGATTAACACAAGTTAGCCTCTTTCTGAACACGCCTCGTATGTTTGCACAGTGAGGGAACCGAAGCTTACATGCATGGCGGGATCGCTGATTACAGACTAATAGTTCAGGAAGGTATACAAGCCAAAATACAGTAATCATCCACGTGTATCTAGTCAGGCTAATATAGAGAGCGCTAAAATGGAAGCAGTCTATACGACTGGTTGTTACCAGAAATGTATTCACTTGAGCTTAATTGTAACTCGGTGCGGCCCAAATGTGGTAAAGTAGCACGATGTATGCAACGTCCAGATTAGCATGAGGCACATATTTTTGGCAGCATCCGATTCCGGATTTGCCTGTCACTGTGGTCTCCCTCCATGGGGACAGCCACAAAAAGTTTGCACCTGGATAAAATGTATTTCATTTTATTCGGCTTGCTATGTTCCGATTGTCCGCGGCGTATTCCATGCCAATTTTGCGTGTTTCTCTTATTCCAAATTATGTGTTCGTTGTTTGCTCTCATCGGTATGCCTGCGCTGGATGTGTATGCTGTGTAGGTACCTACCTGTCTAACAGACTTCATCTCGATTACTGCAGCCTGGTGACTACTAATCATTGCTGAGAGGACGTGGAGCATAGGCCTCATAGCTGTATTACGCTGAAAGAGTGATTCCATCCAGTGTGGAGCAAATTACGGCGCAACCCCCGCCTCGTGTACGTCTGGCACATAACATTCTACATATAGATAGACAGGAGTGCGGCTACTGTGCACGTTGAGGGAGTGTGGCTCGACTCCGTTGATGAGACGTGCCTCCCATCCACATGTCTCCCGGTAATATTCCAACGGGTTTATACTGCCTATGGGGTAGATGGTGCTGCTCAAGTTACCCATCGCTCATGTGTAGGCGCAGGCGTCTTGTGATTGTCCTATGGAGGCCGCAGTGACAGGCAAATCTGGAACCAGGTGCCACCAACCGTACTCCTGAGCTCACAGTAATTTTAGCTGGGAAGCATTAACGGGTGAGTGACATGAGACCTTCATCTGATATCCTTAATATAGTCACTGCAATTGTTTTTCGTCGCCACCATCTTCTTCACTTGATACTTTGAGTCCAAACGGAAGCCCTGGGATAAACGTGCACTCAGTTGCACTCTACACCCTATATGATACTCTAAATAGTAATGAGGGCTAGGTTAGGCAAAATTCAAAATAAAGAAAGAAAACCACCTTATAAATAGCACATTTAGGCATCGTACAAAACTCACTACTACATCGTTAAAGATACTATAGCTTAAGCAACTGTGAGATCAATGCCAGTCTAACAACAGCACTCACTTCGAACACAATTCGCGATAGGACGGAACATGAGCGCAGCGGTTCTGAACGCACTGCCTTTACCCTTTCGGCACACAGGAAATTGGGAACATTGTTTTCACCGTTAGTATGATCGGAACGTAACAACTCCCCCCAATCCATAAGTACGGAGCCATGGTAACTGTCCATATCTTGCCAACCAAATTCCCAAGTGCGCTACTATCCGAAGTTTCCAGACAATGAGACGAATGTCATGGGTGATAGAAGGGTGATAGATCTTTACGTCAAACACCTGCACCATCTGCATTAGGATCATGGGATTTAAGATCACAGGATAACCGTGTTGACTTTCAATATAAGTACGAGGCATTTCCGTGTAATTTGATGTGCCTTTACTGGCTTCACTAACATGATGGTTTCGGGGCGTCCGGTTCTGATACTACTGGTCGGAATCATTTGCAGTAAGCATTTGAGTGTTTGCCCATCCCCGTTGTCTTATACTCCACACTTGGATCAAATAGCTTTCGTTGTCGGTTTGCACCCTATGGTCACCGTGTCACATGAAATGTGATTCGGGCACATCGGGGTGTAGTACACTTGGTCAACCATTGTACATTTTGGTTTAACCTAACGTTGAAGCTGCATGATAAAATTTGAGTGTTTGACCTATTCTAACTATGTGTCAGGTTTATCTGTGGCTCGCCTTTAGAGATCTGAAATTCTGCAGCCTTTTGCTTGAAGAGAACTGTCTTTAGAAGTGGTTTTTGGTGGACTCTTTTAGTTATGAAGCTTACAATAACCATATTGCGCCACTACAATAAACAATAAGACCTAAGCACACTTCACCTCAACTGTTTCAGCCAAGGCAGCTAATGAGGAGGGTGAAAATGTTGCTCTGCAGAAGCCCGTGTACGCGAATGCCAAATGGGCAAACTGTTTGGTTGACGGTAACTTTGGCAGCACCATCAGCCCATACCAGGACCAGATGCCATACTTCTATGTCGATCTACTGGATGATTATAATTTGTCATCGATCCGGGTACACGCACAAAATCAATGGTCATTCTGTGAGTTGTTACTTATATGCCGTCGATACGTGCCATGCAAACTGAACCGGATAACTGATGCGGATGAACAGTAGATAATTTTTCATAAGAATGTGTAGATTTATTCTTATCCGCTTTAAAATTGGATCTGTAGGACCAAATCAAGGATATTTTCACTATTAATGCATTCAGTTAACATGAGCTATTCGCTTGACATTATATCTCAAATACATGTGACTAATATACAGCGTTGAATGGAGGCTGGCTTGCAATTGGCCGAGTTGACTCGGCCAAGTGGACTAGTTCAAGTCATCCATCCCCACCTGGGGATGTCATGTTTTGCACTGCCGGTCATTTTCCCGGTGATCGGGCCAATTAAATGCTTGCTCCCCACCCTGGGACCTTAGTGTGAGTCCGATATCACTAGTCGATGCAGTTGTGGCAGTATTTTTATCTATCACTGTTGTCGTGGGAGCAGGAGCATAGACACACGAAGTCACCACCCCAGTCTGTGTTGTCAGGGTACAACTCCACGCAGCCGGTGTCTCCATTCGTTAGATCTGCTTCCCGTGTCGTTGTTCCCAAATACGCATTACACGGTGTCTGTGCTTTCAGCGTGCATAATGTAGATGCAAGAAAGAACCTGTGCAGGAGTGTTAGATGAAAAGCAATCACCACGAATTTGTACTGAATATGTTGGGTTATGGCGAAGCCACACAACATAACTCTTTCTGCAGATTCTTCACTAGAAAATTTGAAAAGTATCGGGCAACATCACTCCGATGTTTTTATTTTCTGACGTATAGAGTTGCACTCGACGTCGGACATGTTGCATGCGTTCAACTTGGTGGTTTTTGCTTCGTCTATATTAACCGCATCAGATATGTTGCGAAAAAGCGTTTTTAAGTCTGTAAGTTCCGTCATGGGCATCTGCCGTGACGCAGTCAATAAGTTGCCCTACCTTTTTCATTTGGACTAGATCCTGCTTCGCCCATGGATTGTGGATGAATTCTAAGGCAACTAGGCAGTCCTTAAAATGTTCCAGGCATGCCAGTGTTTGTTACTCTTCAGAAAGTTGCAGCTCGAGATTTAATCGTGTCATTCTTTTGTTTAATGAGGCTAAAACTTGTGGAGGCATTGTAGCCATTGGTCATGTTATGTGGCTCCTTTTGTGTCTTATTTTGTTCTAGGAACGGAGGATACACAACCCTTTGTTTGTCTAGTACGGGTTAGACCTTGATGCAGTCATGGTATCGCAATACCGTCAGCGTTGGCAGTGTTCACAGTATACAGGACGCGGTTATAGCAATAAGTGGCTTGCAAACACACAACCTATTAATTCTAAGCTGGAATATGGAACAACGCGTATAGACAGTATGTAGAGACAGAACCGAAAAAGGAGTGTTTAGTCGAAACAGCGGAATTAGGGGTGAGGGCGAAAAGTGATCACCCTATTTCTCTTAATATCCGCCTTCCGTCGTGTGTTTGTACACATCCAACGGATTGTCACGCGATCTGATTGGTTTGTCAGTTGCCTTTTCGCCGAGTCAGCTGTCAGTCGTTCACGAAACGGTGTGGGTAACAATAGTTTAACTATCCATCGTGAGGCGCAACTCGTTGGAGTCAGGGTAGGGTGTTCAAACACGAGGTCTAGCGGATGCCGGTCCTACAATTGCCCGACAAGTGTTGGTCTGGAGATGTTTTGGGATCACTGTACTGTCCAGCCACAGAATCCAGTGTGGACCACGAGATGAATCACAAGTGCACACCATGTGCTTATCGATCTGGTATCGGTGAATGCAAGACCAAGATAAGTTTCAAACGGTGTAGGTCTCAGCAGCAGTGAGAGAATGAGTAGTGGCTAGTTTCCCAATAACTGCCTTGTAGAGCAGCCGAATGAGAGCAATTTGGAATTATTAATGGGCGCTCAGAGTGATCTTGCAAATGAGACTAAAATTAGCCTTGTCGGTTTCAAGGCGATGAAGTTGTGCACTTACGTTTGACTGTGTTCGATGGTTGAAAAGCTCTTGCAGATTTTTCACAAAATCAATTAGGAATCCATCCGAACTTTTTCCAGGGTGGACGGAGCACACAAGGAGGAGCCGAACGGTGTGTAATAATCCGAGACTAGTAGCTACTGCAAGTAGAAAGCACAACCAATATCAGAGCTCAGGTTTTTGTCTACCCTACGCGCAGATCTCCTGTGACGTGTGCAAAACTGGTGCCCAGGAATCAACCACAAAGCTGGTATTGTGGGTATATGTAAACCATAATCCCACGAGGTGGGAATTCGAGACCTAATTTGTTCCATTGTTTTCAAAGGGCTACACCTATTCTTCCTTCAAGAAACTGTTTGCCTGTCCTTGGAATCAGCAATCTAGATAGGTTTGAGGGACAGTAGGTGCAGTTTGAGGGTCGCGCAATCCGTAGCAGACAGATCATACATTATGTGTGAAGATGTGTGTCAAGTCTGTGCAATTAACCCTCATTCACCAAAAATCCTTCCAATTAGGATGACCATTTAATTTATGCGACTAGTCCGCCGCAATGTCGGTAAGTGCTCTTCCACTAAGTTAGTAGGATATAGTTCGCTTGTGTTGGTAACTACTCCATACAATTCACTCGCCACGCCGGCGCCTTACGCTGACAAACTGGATGAGACCCACACGATCGAATACACTGGAACAGTTCGTGTGGGAAAATGATGACCTATTCTCAATCCGTAGGGGTGCTTCGCTAAGCAGCCTTCACTCCCGACGTGCATCTGAAAGATGGTATGGTTTATTGCAACATACACAGCCATCACCAGCACGCATGCCACTTCATACGTTTCACTAAGGTTTGTAACTTCAGTTTGTGCAAACTACGTAGCAGACCAAGTTGGTGATAACATCACGGATAACAGCTATACAGCAGTGCATTTTTGAGGTTCCCGAATACATAATTCATTTATGCCAAGACAATGAATAGCCCACCGGTAGGTGGTTATTCTGTCGACAGCGCACATCTCAGTAGAATGAAACTCCACTTTTACAACGATAGCATACCATAAACCTACTTTCGCATTGCCCAAACCGATTCCAATTGCGCCGAAAGCTGCAATGTTCATGTATTTCTGAAAATGTTAATGCGGAGCCTGAGAGTACTTTCCGCCTAGACGAATGGTACAAAGTCAATGATGAAATCAATAGAAATCTATCAGTACACTATTGCTCTCGCAGTTAATAAGTTGCAAACATCATTTGGATTAGCGTATGAAGCAAGCAAACATGATTTACATAATCACCGTTCCGTTACAAGTTGCAGCGAAGACATGCGTCAACTGAGAGAGTACTTGTTCTTCCATATTGTGTTTTTCCGCAAAACGCTATAGCAGCAGAGACATTTGAAAGAGACCAGCGCATTACAAAACTTTTGACGGCAAATCGTAAAATTGCCACCCCGCATAATAGCCAAGGCGCAAGCTTTTCTTTGCCTCCTTGATTTTCGCATGCCTATCATTGCAGCACTGCTACTTCATTCCATGCAAAGTCTACATAGCCACTTTTGAACCGATATTGTAAGTTAGATTATACTATGCATAATACCAAACAAAGTAGTTCATCTCAGTGTGATAAAGTTCCGTTTCATCCACGCTACACAGATGATCAAGGTTTACACATACCCTTCTCTGTCTACACGTGGGACAAGTTTGTGACAGGCTGTGATTGCGAGCAACAATACCCATGGCATATTGCAAAGAAGAACCTTACATACACGAGAAAAGGAGAGGAGATCGTCATCCAGGGCCCAATACAAGCTCGCTATATTATAATTATGCCGGACAAGGACAACTTCCTAGAATCCACGCAGGGACTAGTGATGGGAGAACTGAGAGCATTCGGTGTCAAGGTCAGGAACGGTTACATCCCAATGACATATGAGGACGGACCTGAGGTCACTAACCTGCATACAGTGAGTTTTTCTTGCAAATAGAGCTCAGGTTGTGGGTTCCTTGAACCTGACCAAATGATGGGTTTATACATGAGCTTGCAGGATTCCAAATCCCTACCCATATACCAACAGAGCACAGAGTTTGCAAAGCCTAATGGTCTACGACACCCCGCGCCATGACCATCAAAGAGAATCGGGTGTAAATGATAATCATACGATAGTTTTTCGCTTCACCGTTATGTGAGTCATTAGCCTCAGAAGTGATGGAGCGAAAAAAGGACGGATAATATTCGCAGATTTCCTGCTGGAAACTACAAGATGTACTGCTGGTACAGCATTGATCTTATCCAAAGATTTAACTTAAAATAGAAAAGTTGCGACGCCTCTAAGCCCATCTACATTCATATCTACCAAATTTGTGACCTGGCAGTTTTCATTTATCTATAGGATAGAAACTGTTGAGCGCTATGCGCTATGAATAAAACGTAGCGTGATACCTTTCTTTTATCTACAAATGTGTGACCTTTATCTCGTCATCGCTTTACTGAATCCACTCTATCTGTAGGAAACTCGTCAACGTCTGCTCACAGGACAAAAGCAATTGCGTGTTGAGCAGGCTTACGGCGAATACCTGCTGAACAATGAATACAACGATGTCGCCCTGGGTTGGCATCACAACCGAATCAACACAATGGCGGTGGTGCGCGACAACGCTCGTGCTATCCTCATGACTGGAACCCAAGGAATGGATCTGTTAGTGTCGTCGCCGGACTACTCAGCATTGCGGGGCAATGTCCGTTCGTGGCTCAGTCCAAACTATCCAAATGCATCGTTTGTAAAAGTGACGGAGGAAGCCAAATACGGAGACATTCTACTGGTCACACGCCACGACAAATTCGACGTAAATTCCACATATGACAGACTTGCATCCGGCAATCATTCTGTGGTGATAGGTTACATGGGTAATACGCAGTTCTCGAACGATGATGCTACGGAACTGATGGCAAAACTCAAGGTCAAATACTTAATACATGACGGTTATTACATGCCCAGAGACATACCGCTGCCGGAAAAAATTGAATCCGCCGATTTTATTCCGAAAGAATATGACCTCAAATTGGGAACAGAAAGCTGGTGGTATTTCAGAACAAAGGATCTTACAACCGGGATGTCATGGAACGAAGCGAAAAAACCGGGGACACAAAATGCACTCAGGGCACTCATTGCTAAGTATCGGTCATATTTTGCAGATCGCCCAATCTGCGATAGAAACCCGTACACCAGAACTCCGGAACTAGATCGAGCATTCGAAAACTGGAACAGGCTACTGAGTTATCAAGTTGGGTCCCGAATTGAACCGATCGGTGGTTCCCTACGTACGCCCGGTGATGTGCATTCGAGCGAGAATGCCACTTGCTACTCGGTCACATTCAATGTAAGTGTACGCGGCAGTTTTTACCCGATGGGTGCCTACGCCAGACCCGGATACGCATTCCAGTATAAAGTACTAAACACCTCCAACCCGAGTCTAAAGGGTTATCGTCTCCGAATCAACCCTCAAACTGATACTGTAAGACGTCCGGTGCTCACGCGCTGGTTCGCAATTACCACTTCTACTGACATGGAAATGAAGGGTGAGTTCGCTTCTGCATTCGGGGGTCCGATAGTGGTCGAGATTCCTGAAGCTGCAACTATTACTATCCAATTCAAGAACGTCTACCGCTACCCGTGGTTTGATATTCGAAATCCGGAGTCAAGGAACAATTGGGATGTTGAGCGTCGTAAACATCATGGTGTTCCCTATTTGATGCTAGTTGGTAACAACATGATCAGCATGATTGCCACTTCCATGGCGACAAGCGTTGCAGGTGCGGATGTCATTTTCTGCGTCAATCACTATGACAATGTGGTCAAGCTCATGCACAATTACCGTGGTACAGACTATGCAACCGATCGGCTGCAGGTATTTGTGACCGATGAACAAATCTCGGCTGGCGATGGTCATTCAGGGTACCCGTGGATGGCTTATAGGTACTGGGGATCCGGATTTCTTTCGAGGTCAAGCATAGAAGAAGGTTCAACCATTGGAATTCCACACGAGATCGGTCACAATCTGCAAGTCAATCGGATCACGTTTAAAGATGGCGGTGAAGTGACTAATAACCTATACATTCCAGTGTTGTACAAGTATCTGGTTGGGCTTAATGCCTACGCCAAGGGATTCCGTCCAGGCTGGACTGAAGGGGACGAGAAAGACTTGATATCCACATGGCGTGGCAACGAGTACAGAGGCGTCCAAGTGAGTTACTACAATTACTACCACAGATATTTCACCGCAGCCTTAGTGAGCAACGTGATGGGTAATGCCGTCCATTCGAATGAAAACTTCGACACTGAGGAGCGGAAAGTTAGCTTTTGGTTGAGACATATGTGCAACGAGTCTGGATACGATCTGGTTCCATTCAATCGTCTGTGGAAGCTCCCAATCACCAACGAAACAGCGCAGTTTTGTGCTCAATTTCCATGCTTCTTCCCTGACGATGTGCTTACACAACAAGTGCCGGATTTGGTTGAAAAACTACTGAATGAATATGGAAAAAAATGCTTTCGTGGAAAACCAAAAGAGGTGAAATTCAAACGTGATATACTGCGTGGTGTCAACGTGTTGGATCCGCAAATGATTTTTCTGCATGAGAATAGCTGTGCCTCATAAGTGTGGGAAGCAAATATTTTTGTTGCGGTAACATGGTCTCCTCCCAGTGTGCTTTTTTAAATTGCTTAATGTGCATTCTCGCTTGATTCCTACCAAATAAACACTGGTTTTTGGGCATTACCCAGAGCTGTTTTGCTTTATCTTAAATATGATCCTTTGGGTAGCTGAGGCGTTCTCATATCCGAATTGGTTCCCTACCTCGGAATTATAAATCGATTTGTGAGTCTATTCAATTCTATTTCAATATGTTCAATACTTGCTAGGGAAAACAGGTCGCATATGATTGAACAAAAGTTCTTTTTACCTGGCACCCTAAGCAAGCCCTCGAACTTTTCTAAGTTTGTCCTGGGTAATTACTGGAGGAAACGTATACTGAAGAGCACGATATCTCCTGAGTATAAGATACAGCCAAATCGAGCGGTTTTGCAAAAGCCAAGTCTGTTTCCCTATGTGATGAATAGAGATTTTTTAATTGATTATGTACCTAACCAAACATGAACTGATAGCGACATCGGATCGGGGAAAAGGTCGACTGAATATTCCACGCACGTCAGTTACTGCAAGAATTGAGCTTAGTTGGACCTCCCTCACTCCCTAGTTACTATGTGATGCCTTTAAATATATAACGGCATTCAATTTCACATGCATTTGTTAGACTGAGATAATGATGTCGAATACTGAACAATGCATTTGGAGCAAGTGGAAAGGTTACTCCCTACAGCTCCATCGCAATATCATGAAAATTGTTATAAACACTGGCAGTAATCCGTGTTAAGTATTCTTCAAATTCCTACGTAGCATTTTCAGATGTCTGACTTACTGTTTCACTGGGTTCACGAATGAAATAAACCATTGACAGTTTGTAATTGTTTTATGAATCGCAAGGTGATGAAATGTTAATCCAATAACGCTTGAACTGCTGAACAGATGCATTCTCCACTGCTTGTTCAGGCAGCCGGTTCCAAACATTTACCACTCTCCTTTCGAAACCCAGGAGGTGGGGTAATCTTTTCATATCCGGTACCACAAACCTGTACCGGTGTCCGCGTATGTTGCATGGCATTCACAAGTGAAATATTGACCTTAACATGTGGAGGTCACCGAGTTGTAATATATCCAGGTCATACTTCGATCGACTCGCACCCGACGATAACATAGGGTGTAGAGTCCTCGTTTTGCGCATCGCTCTAGGTATGATAATTACCGTAAAATTGGACTGAGCCTGGCATTGACCTGTTGGACCTGTTCGATATTCTGTAGTTCGTCTCAGTCGATTAGGCAGTCAGCAGGTGAGTCCTACTCTAGTATTTCTATTTTTTGAAGGGATGGAAGAGGAGAGTGTCGAGATACTCAAACCAAGTAGGGGAACTGCGTTTGATCGTCAAAAGCATGCACGGTACGTTACGGTATACCCTGTTTGTGTTCTCAACGGAATTCAACTAGTAGCGAGAGAGTACATATAGGTTGCTCACTGAAGGTGTGCGACGTAGCGGTTGGCCTTCAATGGTGGGAATTCACTCGTCACCACCCTTATTCAAATCCATAAACATCGACTTGGATGATGTGACCGGTAGACGAGCTTCCGCAAGTCACATGGAGAGGCGGTTGATGTCTTGCTGAAGTAGGCTACAGTTGTCTGGTGAGGGGATAATCACTCTCCAAATTGTCAGGTCGTCTGCAAACAGGGAACACGTCAAGCGAAGGATTTGTGGTGGATCGTCGATGTCGATTAGGAACAGTGGGCCCCAGCACCGTGCCTCTGGGTACTCCACTAGTAGAGGAATACCAGTCAGTTAGGTGGTCGTCGGCTTGTAACCTCTAATTGTGCCCAAGCAGAAAGCGTTGGATTCACTGATGCAATGATCCACCAACACCACACACTCAGTTTGCGAAGGAGGATATCATGGTTAACCTTGTCAAAGAGTTTACTGAAATCTAAGTAGATTACGTCGACAGACTTTCCTTGATTCACCGACTCCAACCATTCTTGTCACTTCACCAGCAAGTTGGAAATGTATGAACGGGTTAGCATAAGCCATGCAGTCTGTGTGTGCCAGTAGTTCTTTTGGATGGAACAACTGCATTAGGCAGTTCTTCTCTATCTTCTCGGCAACTCTGGCCAAAATAGATGTCATCTAAATCAACTGTTGGTTGTCCGCTCTCCTGGAGTCTCCACTATTCAGAATCTGCTTAAGCACTGAGTATATTCAGTCACTCGGCAAGGAATGTTGGGATAGTGAGCTCCTGAACAAGTCGGTCACAGCAGGTGAGATGATGGTCGATAGTGACTTGAGAATCAGTGTGTGGACTCTGTTACGGACATCCACGACAGAAGCGTCATGCTACGCCCACCAACCACACACGCGTCCAAACACAAAAGTCTAGTGTATTCGCCGACTGGTCACAGCATCTCATTGATTCGTCTGGTTCTATATGTTTTCACTTGGTTCCGGTTAGGAACAGATTACAGTTGCACACGTACCAACCTGCGTTGGTGATTTTTCTACGTCTAAACGGACTACGGGTCCATACACGGATTAGGAATGCACCATCGGTATGTAACAAAATAGCGACGGACAATACGTACCCACATGCGGGTCGCTCATTTCTCTAACCGGAGACGTCAGGCAAATCTTCCTTACAAGCATGTATTCAATGGAAACCCTTGTTCCAACATCAGGTGACTCCTTTCCCTATGTTGAATGCTTCCACCACACAATCAGATACCCACTGGATTATGTTGTTCCTCCAGCCACTTGATTCCTAAGGACATCGATGTATTGTACATCGATGTAATGAACCTAATGGTTAAATCTAGGATCTCACAATTTATTCAGTTATTTAAGGAACTATAGGGAATTCAGCAAAGCGCCTTTTCCGCTCGCTATCAGTGTTTGAATTTGCAGCAACAGTGCAGAGAAAGCGTAGGAGATTTTACCTCACGCATTTATCAGGCTACTCCCGAGTGTCGTTGCAACACAATTCCTTCGACGAGTTTTGAAGAATTCATGAAATTTCAGTGCCTGATAGCTGGAATTATAGTTGATGGATCAAATGAAGAAGTATTATCCCAGGAAAAAGCAACTCTTTCTTGGGAAACAGCTTGCAACATTCTGCGGCAGAAGGAACACTTGAAAAATAAGTTGTCCCCTGTAGAAACGGTGAACAAACTAACTCGACATTTTGCCTCTGAGATGTCATCTCGCTCGCGTGTTAATGAAACCTTACGCCAGACTGGCAGCATGACCAATCACGTATTATGTCTCCCATTGGCTGATCATCCTTGACACCATTGAAGTGTGCTGATACACCTACTGCGATCAACAGACAGGCGACCGACAAACGGAGTGAACGGTACAGCGAAGTTGCAAGCCCACAACGAGCCTGCAGGTAGTTTTAAATAAAACAATCGTTCCAAAATATGCTCTTGTTCAAAAGTGCCAGCACATTCTGTGCCGCACCAATGCGCGCCTGAAGGAAAACCGAGGCGTTCGCTCTGGATTCAGACCGTCCAATCGACATGATTGAAAGCGTCCATACGACAGCACGCGCGCACAGTGTCACACTTGTTACTCTTCCCTTTGATGTGGCCACGGACTCGACCCCAAAGTGATTCGCGTGATACGCAGCGAACCAATGTGGCCCAGAGCACACGAGAAGTTTACTGGGCCAAAGAACGGGAGAAAATTACAACTGAAGCGACGGATAGTACTGGTTAACCAGCGGTTTCGTCCTCGTGTCGAGAGTGATCAACCAATGGGAGACATAATACGTGATTGGTCATGCTGCCAATCTGGCTTAAGGTTTCACTAACACGGGGGCGAGATGAAATCTGTGAGTGGTAATCGGAAGCGGATTGGTGGTTTTCGTTGAAGTTGTAACGCTTGCAGGCTCTTGTAAGAGACGCTTTGAAGGCTTACACGAGCGTGATGACAACTAATTGAGTAGTGATGGGAAACGGATTGGCTGCAACCCTGTTGGGAGGGAAGCTTTGTAAGCTTACGGGTTGAGTGCACAGTTGCCTTCCTTGCTCGCTAGCCTATTTGGCCACACGTGGTGCGGTACGCATAGTGTAATCGTACCACTGCGAGCAATCTGGAGAATCGATAGGTGTGCGACTTAGCTTAGGATGTGCGTATGATTGTTAAGGCAGTGTGAGGAAATCGGAAACAATGCAATAATTCGTATGAAGGAGGTAAAGCTAGAACTTGGCAACTAAAATTCTTAAAAAGCTTTACAGCTACAAATTTCTCGCGCTGTGTTTTTCCAGTTGGCCGTACACTCATGTGCATAGCGTGGATAGGTATCGCTTATGTAGTCGGCGCATTGTATACTAAGCTCAAGTTCACTGTGTAGGTAAGATCATCAGTGGATCTGTAGCCATTGTTCCAAAGAGGAGGGTTCCTCGTGTGGCGGTGACAGGACATTAGTGAGTGTTCGTTGTTCGGCACACCTGTGGGGCACTTCGGTAATCAGTTACCGCTACAGGACCCATGAATCTGCCGTTATGTTAAGGTCGTAAATGCATGTCAATCCTGCGTTTCAACATGATATTTACACTTCTCTTCCAAGCGATTGATAAGCTTTAAATCTCAAGTGACCCTACGGCCCTGATATGAGCTGCCTACGAGCATTGCATACGCATAGTAAGCATAGAGTTTGTAACAATTTTCCTCCTTCGACAATGTCTCCGGAATTACCTACTTTCCAATGACAAAATGTTTCCCAGTAGTTGTCAAGTCTCTAACAACCTGTGTCACGGCGTGCACACATGAATGCTTTTAAGACTAGCTGAAACAGTGATCCATAGCAGGCTTAGTGGGCGCGGTTGCCTTTGTAAATGATTGCAAACACATTGTAAGAACCCCCGTGGGTGAGACAACTGTTTGTCCGTTCCAAGTACTCACCTGAAATACCAGAGTAAAATGCCTGCGTCGCCACTAATCATAAGTCTTGCGTTCTTTCTAGCAGGACGATGTGGCATGTATAAACACTGTAGT